TAAACAAAACAGTATATATTTCACAAGTTCCATAAAAGCTTCAGGACTCAAGGTAAGTCTTACTATGCCAACTTCATTTGGCTGTTCAGGTCTCACCTGAAACTTTATTTGCTGTGGTAGAGCACTGTGTTTTTTGTTTTGTTTTGTTTTGTGGGTTATTATTTTTATGTCTGTAGCACTAACTGAACTCATGCTTGTCCGAAATGAATTTCATGCTTAATTTGTTTTTCTTAATTAAACTTATTTTAGCATTTTCTAATATGTGTATTATTAAAACTGATTAGACTCTTTCACACTCGCCTGTCATGTGTGGCTGTACATCCATATATTGAAGCGTTTCATTATATATATATATATATATATATATATATAATTTAATTTTCTTCATATATATATATATATGAAGAAAATTAAATAATAAATACGGAGAATTGAATGTTTTATGAGTGTCAGGATGAGAGAGTCCCTGCAAGGCCCATAAGTTTTCACACAAGAGGCATTTTTACTGAGTCTCACGTGCGGACACATCCCTGATCTATAAACTCTGCAGTAATGGCAGCAGTAAAGCACCCTTCCATTGAGTAGAATTTCTCTCTTACATGCAATGGAAATAGGCACAGAAGAGATTATATTGACTTCTATAAAAAGAATTCATATAAAATCCCCCAAAGTTTAATGTCTAATAATTTCAAATGCCTGGAGTGATTTATTAGTTTTCTGACTTCAGTTAAGCTTTCACTTGGCAGTCTTTTTTCCCCTAACAGATATGCTACCAAAAGAGAACATGAGTCCAATTTTTCTTTACTTTTCTTCCTTTTTTGAGAGGGAACAAAGATAACCCACATTCTTTTATGCCAGCATAGCAATAACTGATACTAGTCAACACACTTTCATTACCATCAGACTAAGAACTCCTAAAACAATGTCTTGCTATTCAAGAATCATTCCTGGAGATAGATAGGAAGGTTGCTGGCTAGAGGCCATAAAGATTGGCTACCCCAAGAAATTATGAATTATCATATAAGAAGAAATGAAAAGCATATCTAGATTTGTTGAGGGCATTCATTAATTCCACCTTTATTTTTCTGGACTTTGCAAACTTTAAGGATTAAACATTGATATTTCAAATTCATAGAAAGGTAGACTTTTTATTGCAGGTCCCAGCAAAGCACAGCTGAGAAGTTCGGTACTACAGAGGGTGCCTGCTGAATTTCAATAACACAGAAAAGTAAAATTTTCCTCTTACATGGTGCAGGTAGACTTTCAATAAATAAATAAATAGATAGATAGATAAATAAATGGGCAATGAGACCAAATGAAGTCAATCATCTCAAAATCATGAGAGTCATGGCCACTCTGATAGGAATTTTTGGATTTTATACCAGTTAGACAACACAGAAGATAGTAATATCCAGGGGAACGCAATCTCAATTACCCCACATCAACAGCTTTGGAGAATTCAGTGCTATATCTTTTGAACTTAACATTTGCAATTTTCAGCACTAATTGTAAACTTTTAACCTTTTAGTCCAAATTATACATTTTGTGACAATCTGTTTATAAAATAAAAAGAACCAAGCAAGGATCTCCTGTGATCCTTTGAACAACCATCACAATGTGTGTGCTGGCAAGGGTGGAACAAAATGTAGTTAATTTACCAAGTGAACGTGGCAGATGACTCATGGGTTCTGTACGTAGTCCACTCTCTTTGTCAAATTGCGTTGATCGTGTGTTCATTAACTACTTTAGCTATGAATTTTGAAGTGTGGTGTTTGGTTCTCTAGAGGATATTTCCCTTGCGATTGGCCACCCAACATGGATGTACTGCCCATAAGGTTTCTCAGAACTTTGTGTAAAGAGTTACTGTAGAAACACCACCAACCCACCAAGCAGATGACACAAAGAAATGGTCAAAGTTGCCCCCTTTTGTTTTTCACCACTCAAAGAGAACATAATGAAGCCTTAAAAATATCAGCTACTCTTGACAGAAAAATATTTCCCAACTACTATAAAGTTGTGTTAGCTTGCCCACCACCGCCATCAGCAGTCTGAGACTCTCAGTCACCACTAGTTCACTGCTTTCAGAATATGCAAATTAATCTTTAAAAGGAGCTCCATGTTATATTTTGAATTTCTAGTAACTTTTATGTCAATAATTGTATTCTCAAGTAGCCTAAAGAGAAATGTTAACCAACCTATCATTCAGCATGCTTTATTTGTATTACCCCCTAAAATTAATTGTATTAATTTAATAAGATGTTAAATATTCTTGGACTGTGTGGCTAGGAGCAGTGGCTAGAATGTACCAACACACAGAACACCCATTCTTTTCCATCCAAAGCACACAAACCACGTGACAGAGAGGCATGGAAAGGAGGAGCAGAAAACGAATGTGCTTGTAGAAACTATCTCTTCCTAGTGAACCTACTATTTTAGAAAGGGTTGACCAAAGCCCACCAAAACAAGAAACAGTCAAGTTTCTGCATTAAAATTCCTGGAACTCAAAAGTTTTCAACTGGGCAATCGTGTCTTAAAAATATAAATTTCATACACTACCTTCAGAATTCAGTTTAAAGTCACACAGGCAAACCCAGGGGAAAGTTTGTAAGGCTCTTCTCAGAGCCAGGATGAATGAAGTATTTAAAGCTTGTCAAATAAGTATCAGAGAGGATGAGCTCAGGTGACATTGAAGAGTGGTCTCTGATGAGTCCAGACTCAAGAGAGAGTCTTTCATGTTAAAACTCTACAGGGATGTGCACACATTTCACAATCTACCAACACAAATTGTGGGAAAATAGCTAATGTTTTCTTTGGGGTCTAAAGTACACCAAATTCAGCATTTTATGTGATGACAATTACCTATCCTCATTTTATTTCAGTGCATTTGAGAGCTTGCTAGTTTAAAAGTGAATGTCTGGCCTTAAATAGAAAAAGGCCAACTAAAACACACTGAATTGTGAAGGGATGTGAGGGAGTCTCATCAGTCTAAGCCATCTATAGACACTTCTACACAATTCACGAACACTTACATGTTACTTATGTAAATGTATAACATTTATGTAAATATAATTGTACTGGAGCTATGAGGACAGCAAACTTAGGTGAGAATAATGTCCTTTACCAGATTCCAAAGTAACTTTTACTTTCCTAAATCAATTAATATTTACACATTTGGGAGATTAATTTTAATTACTGCTGGCGAAATCGATTTCCTTCTGTGAGCACAAAGGAGTTTTTTTTTCTATTTTTTTTTTCTCGAGAGCTACAAAATTTCTTTAACTGAAAAAAAAATAATAATAATAACCTAAATTCAGCTGCAAGAAAATCTCCAGAAACTCAAGAGCTCACAGATCACTGGGAAAGAAAAAGCTAGGAGTCAGGAGCAGGGCAAGGCAGGCTAGAATCACGAATGCAGCTGGGTGCTTGGTGCACTCACCAGCCTTGGGCCCTGGGCACAAACGCTGCAAAGAGGCTCACTCACTCAAGAAAGTTAATTCGGACTGTATTATGCAAAGTCCGACAAGGCTGTCACAAGATAACCTGTGTGGCAGAACCCTACTTCTTTCTCTTGGATCAGATGCAGCGACTATAACCCTTTAATGTCCGACCTCAAGAAGGTGGTGGTGCGGAAGGGCAGGAAGAAACAGAGGGAGGGAATGCCGGAGCTTATGAATAAGGCCACTCTCCTACCGACTTGCCTCCACAGCGAAATTCCCCAGGAAGCTTAGACAGCCTGGGAAACTGGGCCTAGGAAGCCCGACGTGGCCCTGAGCTCTCCCTCCCGCCCCCCAAGGAGGATTTCAAAAGCGCTGCCTGTCTCTTCTCCTTAAAGTGTCGCTAAGAGAAAAATCACCGGGTCCAAGAGGAATCTCCCTGCTGAGAGATTTTTTTTTTTTTTTCCCAAGGCAAAGTTGAGAGGCAGGAGGCTGCCTGGCTTCCCCCACGAGACCCAGGCTTTGGAGCCTGGTGCGGGCGGCGCGGTCGCGGAGCCCAGGAGCTGCGCGAGGTGGGCGTCCAGCCTGCTCGCCCCATTTCTCAGGCGCTGCGTCCGCATCCCCTTTCCGCACGCGGATACCCGAACCCGCAGCCCTTTCCCCTAGGAAGGAGCCACAAACTTACCCCCGGCGAGACGCGTCCACGGAGGGAGCCCCCTCATCTTCCCCCAGTCCTCTTTCAATTATTCAAGGAGACAGGTTTTTTGTTTTGTTTTTTTTTTTTCCACCAACACTTCGCTGTCAAATTCAAGCCGAAATGGTCAAAGTATTTACCAGTTTGTAGATGCTTTCTTTCCAAGCCCTGGAAGTCGGTAATTCTTGTTTCAGAATTCAAGATGCTTCCTTTATTATTATTATTATTTTTTTCCTTTAAGCAGCCGCAACCCCGGTTACACCTCCCCCCCCCTCTTTATTCACCCACGGACACTTCCTAAACGTGTGGATTGATGCTTTTTTTCTCTCCAGATGCTGCCACGATTCAGAATCCCGGCGAACCAAAGCCGCATCCGTGTAATTCCGACCATCAGGCAAGAAATACAAACGATCAAACAGCGTTACTTCTTTGAGCTGCGATCAGATAATCCTACTAATCCAATAGATTTATCTCGATTGGAAATTGACCTCAAAAAAAATGAATTCCCAGTGCTGGTGTCCAGTAGAACGATTCTGTAGCTGTATCCGGGTTACCAAAGAACTGTGCTTTCTTTCTTTCCTTTTCTCTCTTTCTTTCTTCTTCTTCCTTTTTGTAAAAATCTTTTTGGATTCTGGGTGCACTGCTCGCAAAAAAAGAAAAAAAAAAAAAAATGCCGAGGACCCTGGTTTTCCCCTAATACAGGTTTCTACTCCAAATCGGTGCAGAATGAAAAATGATACAAAGGTACCCCTAGTGGCTCGAGGCGATATTGCAGGGATTTCACTTTTTTTTTCCTCCATCCCCTCTTCACCTTTTCCAACCCCCAGCCCCCACCCCTACACCCTCCCTGTTCCCCTGGCTTCTGGGGAGTTGTTTTAGGAACTAGGGGGTTGAATCCCGATTAATTCTAGTAAAATACAACTGCCTAAACATATAGGATGGCTTTTGCCTTACACTGCAAGACTGAAAAATCTGTTTCTGACCCCTCAGAGGCATTTAAATGAACCCCCTCCCCGCCAAAAAAAAAAAAAAAAAAAAAGAATTTAATAGCTAAAATGTCAACTTGGGGAAGCACTGTGATTTTAAAGAAACGTATATTTTCTAAATACTCATAGTTAGTAGTTAGTACACACACACACACACACACACGCACACGCGCGCACACACACACACACACACACAGACAGGAGCGCGCATGCATACACACATACACTCTCCCCCAAAGCCCTAAACTTCCTGAAACACGTTTTCATAAAGCATTTAATATTGTTTTTCCTTTGAATAAATAAAGAATATGAATTATTTCATTCATATGTTTTACAATTTTGGACTTTAAAATTCTTTTCATTAAATTTATTTATCTGTATGCGCATGTGCAAGCACACATCCAGAGCGGTTCATGGAAGCTAGAGTAAAACTCTTAGGAGCCAGTTCCCTTTGCCGTGTGGACCCTGGGCATCCAAATCAGGCGTTCAGAGTTGGTGTCAAGCTATCATGCCAGCTCTTATTTCGGACTATTTTTTAGATTTTTTTTTTGTGTTACTAAGTTAGGCACATGTACATATGTGTGCGTGGGCTCATGTGTATGCCACATGTGTGTATAGATGCCCGAAGAGGGCAGGAGAAGTTGTTGTAGGCTAGGAGTCACGTGCTTTCGTGAGCCATCCAGCCTGGGTGCTGAAGAGTGAACTTGGGTTCTCTGTGAAAGCAGTAGGCACCCTCGGTTGAGAAGCCCTTCCTACAACCCCTCACTCTACCACCTCTCATTCTCATTGATGTCTGTTTAGAAAAGCAGGTATAACGTCTCTGGGTGTTCAGGGAAAGGACGGTGCCTACCTAGGCCTCCAGGATGCTTGATGGGAACCTTTAGAGATCAGTGGCCTCTTAGTCAGCACCAGGAGTTCTGACAGGTTTCAAAGAAAGGGATCAATGCAGTGAATTTCAGGCCTCCCTTGCGAAGCAGCACTCCACATAGTCTCACAAACAGGGTCTATCAATAAGCCAGCAAGCTTTTTAAAATGAAGATTCTAGGTCTTTAGGGCTGAGATTCTCCAATTTTAACAAGCCCTCTGAGAACACTTTGATTATCAAGGGCCTGGTAAAATACAGAAGTTGAATTCTCTTTCATGCTGATGGGTTCTGTAGCTGCAAAAAACTGGAAAATTTTTCTTAACTGTCTAAATAATTAAGCCTTTAAGTGTATGAACTGTTAAAGAGTCAGGAGACACTTCTACCACTGGCTCTGCTGTTAATTGGCTATATGTGACTTTGAGTAGTAGCTTTTTGCCTATGGTTAATTCATCTATTAAAACTCAAGACAAATCAACAAATGCACATGTTCCTAAATGGAACATTTAATATCATAAATTAATCTATAATACAAATGTAATTATTATTAAGATATCATTACAGTTTTTTTTTCACAGACCCTGAAAAGATAGTCCTAAAATACAAATACAAAAGCAAAGAGGAAAACAAAAACTGATTAAAAAAATAAAAACCTAAGGAACAAATTTCATGAAGTTAAGTCTTAATCCAGAATGGCTGCAGTTAAGTTTCAGTCATAGAAACTAGCTCATAGGAAGAGATAAGAATTCCCAGAAAAATATTCATACATTTAATAGAAACTGGGTAAATATCAGGTGGCTTTAGAAAGCAATGAAGGCATGTGAAAACTATTTTGATGCTTCATCATGCATATGACAATATACTAGTTTTTTTTTTTTAACATCTCATCATACCTGAGTTTGTTTTTAAGGTAGCCTAAAGGACAAAAACAAAAAACAAACAAACAAAAAAAAAACTAGAAAGTACTTATATAGTTCTCATAAACATATTTTCAACACTCAAAATAAACTGTGAAGATGAGGAATAACTTGACTGAAGAGAAGTCTCACTGTCCAATAAGGGCCTGAAAGGGGCACTCGGAGATCGCTAGTCATTAGAGAAATTCACAGCAAGATGATAAGATGATACTTCACAGCCATGAAATTGGCTAAAATCACAAATCTAGTAGCACTGCATAATGATGATGTGAAGAAACTGTGGAGATTAGAATGGGTGAAAGTTCAGAGGGTCCAGAAAGCAGCTAAAAAAAATCATTGAATAATCTCACAACCTACAAATTCCTCTTTCCATTCTTAGCAATAGTCATTGCAGGATTGCTGAAAAGAACTAAAAATACAAAGTCTAACTACTTCTGAGTCTATAGAATATTAATGTGCTGTAATAGGAGAAGTATCACAGAGAAAAATGAAAGTCCCTTAGATACTTGAGTTGCCATGGATAAATCACAAAAATAATATCTAGATAAAAATATTGGCTATTGCCTAAGATATGTAATGATATTAATTCCTAAGTACATATAAAATTTAAACACGTTACTGAAGAGATGACTCATTGATTAGCACCATTTGCTGCTCCTCCAGAAAAACTGAGTTTAATTCTCAAATCTCACACAGTAGCTCACAACCATTAGTAATTCCAGGTTCAGAATCTGATTTTTTTTTTCTGGACTCCATGGTCACCAGTAATGTATGTGGTGTATATACATACATACATACATATATACAATGCATACATACGTGCAGACAAACACTCATACACATAACCAAAAGCACTTAAAAATAATGGGATCTATTAATTTGGTGACTATGTATATGTAGCCCCAGATTATCACCTGAGGAAGATAATAAGCAAAATTCAGTGCCAAAGTTACCTCTGAAAAAGATTGGGTTAATGAATGTGGCCCCAGCATCCTCAGTACCTACACCTGAATCCATAGTATCTTATTTCCCAGCACTGTATCTTGAACTACTTTTGTATAAATTAATTCTATACCTGAAATATCTCATTAATATAAAATACTTAGACTAGATGATTTCTGTGAACCCTTATAACATTATAATTTTTTTAATTATAAGTGAAATTTTTCAGAGGAAAATAGCTTAATGATTCTGAGTGCAAAGGAAGGAAATAATTTCCATTTATTTAAAAAAACAACAATGACAGGGGCATAAAATATATGTCAATGTAGATATAAAAAAAGTGTAAGAACTCAGATTTTTTTTTTTTTTTTACTGAAATTAGATCCTTCATACAATTCTCTTACAATAAATCCCAACCACACTTTCTCCTCCCTCCATGCCTCCTGCCTCCTGGCTCTCCACACCTGTCCTCTCTGCCAGATCTACACCCCCCTCCATTGTTCCCTCTTCAGAAAAAAAGATGGCCTCAAAGAGACAACAACCACAACAGAACAAAAGAAGATACAATAAGACATGGTAAAAGCCCTCAGATAGAGGCTGGACAAGGAACTCAGTAAGAGGCAAAAGATCACGCAAAAGAATCAGAAACAAACCTGCTACGACTGTTAGGAGTCCCACAAAAACACCAAGCTACCAGCCATAACATGGACACACAGGACCGGGCACAGACAGATGCAGGCCTCATAGTGCCACTTCAGTGTCTGTGAACCCATGTAAGCTTTGATTAGTTGACTCAGTGGGCCTTATTCTCCTTATGTCCTCCATCCCTGACTCTGGAAATCTTTCCTCAGCCTCTTCCAGGGTTCCCTGATCTCCCAGGGGAGGGCTCTGATGGAGACCTCCAGATTACACTATCTCTTTGTCCAGTGTCTGGTGGTAGGTCTCACTGCTCCTGTCTGCTGCCTGAGGAAGCCTATCTGATTATGACTTGATAATGCATTGATCTATGAGTATAGGAGAATATCATTAGAAATCATTTTATTATCTATCTATCTATCTCTCTATCACCTATCTGTCCATCTATATATCATTTCATTTATTTATTTTGCTCATCATGTTTGGTTCGACCCTAGGTTTCTGGGTCATCCAGTCTCTGGTTCCAGTTCCTCATCATTCAGTTGTACTCCATTCTTGTGGGTGGGCTTCATGTTAAACAAAACATTGGTCTTCTTCCCTCTGGGAATTCCCAAGCTCGGCCTGATGCTTTGCTGTGAGTCTCAGCATCTTATTCAATCAGCTGCTGGGGGTGCTCCTCAGAGAAAGTTAAACTAGGCTCCTGTATGTAAATGTAGCTGAGTATCTTCAATGTTGTCAGGGGTTGACTCTCTCCCATGGGGAGGGTCTCAGGTTGGGCATTGGTTGGTTATTCTATTTGTCTCCACTCTATTCTTTATCTCTGTACATCTTGCAGGCAGGGTAAATATCGGTTTGAAGGTTTTGCAGGTGGATTAGTGTTCCCCTCCTACCACTGTAGTTCCTGCCTGGCTAGAAGGTAGCCTCCTCAAGTCTCCTGTCTCATACTGCTAGGAGGCTCAGCTACAGACATCCCAACATCCTCTCCATAGCCTACCCTGTCACAGGTCTCCAGGTTGTCTCAGGGATGCCCCCACCTTTGGTTTCTCTTTTCTCTCCAGGCCCTCAAACCTTCCCTCCCCACATATGTTTCCCCCTAATGCCCTCCAAACTCATTTCTCTCCCCACAACCAAAAAAGTCAGCTAACCTAGACCCACAGTGGCTTTTAGAGGCAGAAGAGCCAACCAAGGAACACACATGATTGGACCTGGATCCTATATATGGGTGTAACTGATGGGTGGTTTGAACATCATGAGGTTCCCTAGTAAGTTGAGCAGGTGCTGTCTAAGACATGGAACCTGTTGCCTGCTTTTCAACACTTTTCCTTAGCCAGGCTGCCTTGCCTGGCCATAGTGGATAAATAGA